CCCTAAACCCTAAACCCTAAACCCTAAACCCTAAACCCTAAACCCTAAACCCTAAACCCTAAACCCTAAACCCTAAACCCTAAACCATAAACCCTAGACCCTAGACCTTCTCAACCGTAAACACTAAACACTGAACCCTAAACCCTAAACACTCAACAATACACCCTGAACCCTAAACCCTTACTCGGAGACATTGTCAACATTACTTACCAAGTTACTTGAAGAAAGAGACACGAATCTGCGATTTTCTCTCGGAATGCTTGCATTCAGGCCCTAGCCTCAAGATAGTTGTTGGATTATGGTGGCTTTCACATGGTTTGGCCACTGCCAGTCACCATCATCCCAATTTTGATCATGACTCTGCTCCAAGAAAACTCCATGGGAATAAACCCTACACCCTGAACCCTGAACCCTGAACCCTCAACCCTGAACCCTGAGCCCTAAACCCTAAACCCTGAACCCTAAACCCTCAACCCTCAACCCTCAACCATAAACCCTCAACCCTCAACCATAAAACCTAAACCCTAAACCCTAAACCCTAAACCCTAAAACCTAAAAATTAAACCTACCCTTGAACTTACTCCATAAACCATAAACCATCAACCATAGACCATAAACCTTGAGCCCTCAAACCCTCAAACCCTCAAACCCAAACCCTAAGCACGCTTGCTAGAACTGCGTCGTGGTACATCCTCAACCGCGGTAACTCGCTCGTACGAAGTACCACGCCCCCCCCCCTCCTTCCTCCCTATCAGGAGGAGACGCGGCCAGGCGTTTAGGGTTCAGGGTTCAGGGTTTAGGGTTAATGGGAAGGTCCGGCTTCTCCTCGGTCGGTGCTCCATGCTCATTCTGCACCCCACACCCTACACACCCTGCACCCTACCCGTCCACCTCTCACACTTGAACCCTGAACCCTAAACCCTAAACCCTAAACCCTGAAGCTCAAATCCTGCACCCTACACCCAGCCAACCCTGAACCCTGATCCCTGAACCCTAAACCCTAACCCTCAACCCAAACCTACACCCCAAACAAGTATTATCTCCGGTGGTCCTAGGGGGTGGGGGAAGGGGGAGGCTCTGTCCAACTCTTGGCTGCCGAGAGAGACCGTCAAGGAAACGGGGACATTTCTCTTGTCTTACGGAGGAACCCCAGACAGAAAACCTCACGGGCTTCCCCTCGGGCCTTGTCAGCGCGGGCTAAATTAAACTGGCGTTTAGGCCCTACAGGGGTACCTCGCTCATAAGAAAGCGCCTCCTCCTAGGACCCTACAGTAGGGCGATGCCTGTTACGGTGGGCCTATCTTCCCCTCGGGATTGACAACGGCAAGGAGGCGAGAGTCCTCCCGACAGGGGAACCTCAAACTTAAGAGCACACACTCTACTGTAGGCCCATACGTAGGACCCTAGGGTGGTCCCAGGGGGGAGGGCGTGTTTTTAAAGACGAGGTAGGATCCTACAGGGGTTACTCGAAATTAAGGGCACGCATCGCCAAAGTGGCGAGTAGGCTCATACGCCCTACGGTAGGGCCCTAGGACCTGCCTAGGGCGAGTTAGGGTGAATATTCGCCCGTCCGCCACTTAAGGGATAGTCCTACAATAGGGTTAGTCCTAGGCGCATAGGACCACCCTAGGGACGGTGCGTGTCGTTAATCTCGAGTAACCCCTGTAACCCTGTACGACAAGACGAACGTCCCCAGCCCCGCCTCGGTACATTTGTAAGCAATGCATTCTCACGCGGTACACTCGCCACGTTGCCCTCACGCCATCCGCAGCACGCCGCGCAACCGCTCTACCCCCCCC